AAAAAAAATGCTGGAATCAACCTGCATGCTCAAAACTAGGGGACAAGTTAAGCAAATTGTGGTACCTACAAAAATCAGAGGACAGCATTACAACAGATGTTTGTAATAAGTTTTAAAGATTCTAATAAGCACTTTTTTATGTTAAAAATTCACAATTTTGAGTACAGCCGCTGTCAGTAAAATACAGAGGAGGAAAAGCAGTAAAGAAATTTTAAAAATAAAAATATTAATTAATTAATTAATTAAAAGTAGTAAGAAACAGATCAAATGTTAAGTGAACTGTAAAAGAGTTATGGGAAAACTTCCTCTTCTGCTTTTTTTTTTACATTTTTTTATTGAGTAATAGTCATTTTACAATGTTGTGTCAAATTCAGTGTGGAGCACAATTTTTCAGTTGCACATGAACATACATATATTCATTGTCACATTTTTTTTTCGCTGTGAGCTACCACAAAATCTTGTATATATTTCCCTGTGCTTTAAGTATAATCTTGTTTATCTGTTCTACATTTTGAAATCCCAGTTCTCTTCTGCTTTTTGATATTATAATCTTCACAGATGAGAGTATTACTCTTCAAAGAAGAACTGAGTAGACCATCCACACCCCAAAGCAAAGCTGCACTATGACGCTCTGACCAGGAGAAGGCTGAGTTATGTGAGATCTCCCACCTGCTCCCCTGCTCTGTGCCGGGGAAGGCCACCACCCCTCCTACTGGGCCAGTGCACGGCTATGAGCCACACTGCCCACTTCCTTTCTTTCCAGTTCACAAGCTCCTCAATTAACACGTAATGGTGGTAGAGGGTGAGGCTCAAGTGGTAGAGCGCATGCTCAGCATGCACGAGGTCCTGGGTTCAATTCCCAGCGCCTCCTCTAAAAGTAAATAAGTAAATAAATCTAATTACCTCCCCACCCACCGCCAAGAAACCTAAATAACTTACTCTTCAAAAACAATTTTTTTTAAAAAGCCCACAGTCTGTTCCTGGATGTGGTGGGATACAGATG